TATATATATATATATTATATATATATATAATATATATATATAATATATATATATATATATATATTATATATACATATATTTATATATATATATACATATATATATATATATATATATATATATATGTATATATATATATATATATACATATGTATATATATATATATACATATATATATATATATATATATATATATATATATATATATATATATATATATATATATATATATATATATATATATATATACATATGTATATATATATATATATATATATATATATATATATAACAGCCGATTGTTCTCAACAAATCCAACTGCATGTATAGCTGACCGATCGCAACCGGTCGGGTTAATACCTGGTGGTTCTCAACCCACTAGATAGTCATTATAGCCAATTGATCGCAACCAATTGGGATATCATGCACAATCAACATAGAAGCCAAACAACAACCCACATTAACACATAACGAGGGGAAATTATTGGGGAACTCTTGTCCTAATATAACTCATACGTAACAAACCATATTAAACCACTCATGATACTCCTACGGGATCATACACCTTCCTCCTAGGCCAACGGGATACCAATTCAACTAGCATGCAACCACAAAACTCTTTTATCTTAAGAACGGCACCTGAAACATCAAACTAGAATCACATACGACAAACGAGGTACACCATGACACAACGGGACACGGGGAAACATCAAATGGGTAAAAACATCACCTTACCCACCAACTTTCCAGCTGGTGGACGGCGGGTGGAGGACCACCCGCCGGCGGCGGCGTCAATCCCAGCGGGTGCCCGGAGGGCAGTCGCCTGACCGCTAGTGATCGGGCAAGGGCAGCGGGTAGGTGGCGGGCACCCCTGCCCCCACCTACCCCCCACTGACTCATATGTAACATTTGGTCCCAGGATCTTTCGTGGAACCCGAAATCATATCCAGACACATTCAAATATAAACGACAGCACCACGTATTCAAGTAACGGAGTTAAACCAAGAATCACACCAAATACATCCTAACACGACTCCTAAATATGCCAAGACTCAATACCCGATCATGCAAAGTCCCACCCCAAACATACCAAGAATAACATAATGCGAAATCAACGTTATTGCCCTAGGGCTCTAGACATAATCAAAATATATAACTTATCATGGAATCAAGAACATCAAGATTATCACACTAGCATCAAGATTAACACATAAACATCAATATTATCATATAAACACAATATAAACCCTAGGCAAAGCTCTATCAAGACTCAAGCACAGAATCATATATCAAAGGAGCCAATGAATAAGATATAGTGAGGAAAATAGGTTTTGTTGAGACATGGGTTACCTCTTAGCCTTAATTAATCCTCCCTTGGCTATTAAGGTTCTTCTCTAAGATTTCCATCCGTTTGATCTCCCTAGGCTTGGTGGTGGGGGAATCTCCCGGGAATAATTTCGTGTAATATAACTATGGGCGGTAAGGGTTCTAATTGCTTTATAATCCCCTATTTATAGAGTTAGGAATCCTAATAAGAGTCTGAATAGTAAGGACCTACATTCTATTCCTAACAGGTCTATAGCCCTAGGATCCCTAATTAGAATCTGAGTAATAAAGGCCTACTATCTTTATTCCTAATAGGTCTGGGATTGCTAATTAGAATCCGAATAGTGGAAGGTCCACTCTCTTAATTCCGAATAGGCTTAAGACTCTAGTTTAGGCAAGGGTCCACGATCCATGGTGGACCACATTAATTAATTAAAGGGAATCCTAACCAAATTAAATCCTTTTTAATTATTATTAACAGAATTAATTAAGTAATTAATTCGGGATTGAAGGCCGTAACACGGAGTGTTACAGGGTAGGTGCAAACAATTGTGTAACAAAACAAAACAATAGTATCAAGGTAATAAACCTAAATCAATTCAAACTTCTAACTACTACTGTTTGCCATCCCCGGCAATAGCGCCATTTTGACAAACCACACATCGAAAGAATATTTGGGATGAACCCCGAGCTTTATTGTTCTCTAGGGATGACAAATTGGAAGAGTCGAAATGCATTGAGTCGAGAGAGGCCTATTGTCAATAATGTACCCCACCACGATTATGTACATGATTGAGTCGATTTGTAGCATGTAGAAGAAGTCAAACAAACAATAAAAAGCACTAAATGAAATCAAATGTAAAGAGCTAGGATAGGATTTCTCATCTTCCTCATGATGAATATAGGATCGTTAACATAAGCTAGGATATTGCAAGAGTAGAGTTGTGTGAAGACATGCTAGGTCCATTCACTTGTCAGTTTACTAAGATTCCTCTAGGCTTAGAGCACCTTTAGGTAACTAAGTTCCTAAGAGTCAATTCTATGAATACCTTGCCTACACTTCATTCCTAGTTTCATCCTCCTGCATTTTGAACTAGGAAATGCCAAAGAAAGAGGTCTCCAAGTGATCTAGCAATCCCTTGCTTAGATCAAATCGAGGAGTTGGCCGGACTCCACAAGAAGCATACAAAGCATTCAAAGGCAACACAACTCATAAATATTTGCAACATCAACTCATACAATTGCAATATCTAAACCTAATTAAGAATTGTATCTCACATTAGCATCATGATTAAGATTCACAACCCTAATCCTATCTAAACCTAGCCACACATAGCTAGATGAAATAACATTGCATATGAATTGAAATAGCAATCAAAGTAAGAACTAGGAATTAAAGTATGAAAGCAATATATTGTACCAACTAGAATGTAAATCAAAGGCTTCTTCTACAATGAATCTTAAAGGGATGGTTGTCAATCTTCTTCTCCAAGATCTTCAAGCTATGAGAGACTAGAACCCTAAAAATCTAGTGAGAGAAAGTGTTTCTAATATGCCAAAAGAGAACTCCTAAACTCTTTCGCTAATTGCACTTTGGAGACGTCGTGCTGCCTTCCCACATTACTATCCACGCGCGAGGATCGGTTACTTAATCCTGGTTTCGCCTCCACCCACGCACGTGGAGAAGGTGCGTGGATCTTTCTGTTCTGCTTCCACACACACTCCCATCCACGTGGGCCTCTGCGTGGATCTTTTTGTCTCGTTTCCACACAGGGTCCCACGCGCGTGGCTGGTCCCAGCACGGCTCTGGTTTTGTCCTTTCCTTGTGATGCTCGTTTCATGTCCATACGCCTCCATTTCAAGCTTAAAACCTTCATAAATCATAAAAATACAAAGTAGAGTGGTGTTTTGCGGCACATTAGCAATTACAGACATAAACAACCATAAATCATGCACAAAGGATATCAAATGGATATATTATGCCCTCTTCAAAACCCTAAAAGATGTGTGTCTTTGGCACTTATCAGAACTCAATGCTAGATTTTATTTGGTTGAAATGTGTATACGACCTATATTAGCTCCACGTCGCGAGGAAAAGAAGACATATTTGCCTCCAGCTGCTCATACTTTATCAAGAAAGGAGAACATAAGTTTTTTGTGAGTGTTTACGTGGAGTGAAGGTACCACAATGGTATTCATCAAATATCAGAAGACTTATTAATATGCATGATTTAAAGTTGGTGGGGTTGAAGTCTCATGATTGGCATGCCTTAATACAACAACTATTGCCGGTGGCTGTTAGAGGCATATTGCCTAAAAAGTTGAGATATACCATCATAAGACTTTGTTTATTTTTCAATGCAATTTGCCGGAAAGTTATTGATCTAGACAAATTAGATGAATTGCAAAATGACATTATTGTTACATTGTGTCAGCTAGAGATGCACTTTCCACCTTCGTGTTTTGATATCATGGTTCATTTGCTTGTACATTTGGTGAGAGAGATCAGACAGTGTGGTCTAGCTTATTTGAGGTAGATGTATCTATTTGAACGGTACATGAAAGTATTAAAAGGTTATGTGAGGAACCGATATAGGTAGGAAGCATCTATTATTGAAAGCTATATTGCTGAGGAGATTACTGCGTTCTGTAAATATCGACATGAACGAAGAATTGCTGAGAAGGGTACTCGAGGAATCAAAATGCATACTATGCCTCATGAAGATTTTGAGCAAGCACACTTGTACATCTTGCATAATACAAGTGAAGTCGAACCATATTTAGATGAACACAAGGCATTGATTAGGGAACAAAATCCTAGAAGGACATACATGTACATTGTGAGTGAACATAATCGTGCTTTTATTGGTTGGTTCAAGAATAAAGCTTTTAGAGATAATAATGTTTCTGAAACTGTACGATGGTTAACTCATGGTCCTGGTATGGAAGTCATATGTTATAATGGATATGACATTAATGGGTTTTCTTTTTACACAAAAGCTTAAGATGAAATGAGCACTATGCAAAATAGTAGAGTTTCTTTGGTTGCAAATTCAATGCATTTCAGTAGTTCAAAAGATAAAAATCTTGTGATTACAAAGTTGTCATATTATGGTGTGATTGAAGAAAAATGGGAGGTTGATTATGTTAAGTTTAGGGTGTCGGTGTTCCAATGTAGATGGGTAGATAATAAACATGGTGTAAAAGTTGATGAGCTTGGATTTACACTTGTAGATCTTAATCGGGAAGCTCACAAAAATGAGCAAATCATAATGGCATCCCAAGCAAAACAATTATTTAATGTTAGTGATCCTTGTGATAAAAAATGGTCAGTTGTTCTTCATGGAAAGAGACAAATTACTAGAGATAGGAATGAAGATGTTAGTTTTGATATTGAGGAAATACCACCATTTTCTTCAAGCTTATTGCCGGTTATTGTAGATATTGAGATAGATGAAGTGTATTCATCACAGGATGATAATCATGAAGGGTTATGGGAGCATTGATTATTATTTGCAATGCTTTAATTAAGTACTTATTGTGTTTTTTTAGTTTTCTTATTGTAATACTTCTATTTATTTTCATTCACTAATAATTTTTCTTTGTAAACAGGCATATGGATTCATCAAATGATGATAGTACTACCCAAGGTACTCATACTACTGCTAAGATGATGGGTGTAACTCATATGAAAAAAGTCATTCTAGAGTCTGCTACTTCGAGGAAGCAGATAGTTGAATTTGATGGATTGAATCCTGTCATGTCAAGCAGCACTGCATTTAAAAGTTATGTTGCATTATTGGGACGAGTCAGAGTTCGTATCACAATAGAGTCATGGCTTAAGGTCCCAGTAGAGACTAAGGAGCTTATTTGGCAAGATATTCTGGTAACTTTTTTTTTTTTTTTTGAGATTTAGATTTGTACAAAAAAAAAAAAAGAAGTTAAATATAATGGCATTTCTTACTAATAAATAATCTTGTTTTGTAGAGTACTTATAATATTCCCAACACAACCGAAATGAAGCGCCATTGGATGAAATATGTGGGTGAACGATGGAAAGATTTTAAAACAAAATTGGTCAACCAGTATATATACGGTACTTTGTCACATAAAACTATGTGATAAATACTCGTACCTTGACCAAGAGACCTGGAATGAGTTTGTTCAGCATCATACATGTCTAGAATATGAGGTATCATTATTATTATTATTATATCAATTATTAATTCAAATATATTAATTATATAACTAATTAATATTTTGTTTTTATATAGGCAATAAGAAAAAAACATCAAGGCATACAAGCTAAGAATGTTCATACACATGTTTTAGCTCGTGGAGGCTATCAAAGGTTGGAGAAGATTATAATGGAAGAGAAGATGAAAGAACAACAAGAACTTGTAGATTCAGATCCATCGTATACATTGACTCCTCCAATTCCTCCAAGTAGATTCGAAAAGTGGAAGAGAACAAGAATGGATAAGTCGGGAAATTTTCACACCGAAGCAACTAGATTGGTTGCAGAAAAAATTGTAAGTAAATATATTATTATTTTCTACAATAATAGTTATGTTGAATAAAATGAACAAAATATAAATTACCATACGATGTCGGTTTTTTGTACAAATCGACGTCATATAAATTTTTAAATTCAACATACGATGTCGGTTTTTACTAAAACTGATGTCGTATGTTTATTTAAATTTTTTTGAAAAAATATATGGGTATTTATTTAAATATATTCATGCATTGTTAAAAACTTCACTAACAAAATCACGTGGGAAAAAAAACCTAGCTAAGGAAAAATGTACATGATATTTGTGAAATCATATGTTGCACTAGTTGTCTCATTAAAAACCTTACAAAGAAAACCCTATGTGAAAAAACTTAATTAAGGAAAAAAGAGTACAACCGTGAACCTTTAGGGTTCAATCTTCGGGATTTACAAGAGTAGGATTTATAACATTTATTATGGACCAATAAATCAATTATACTTTTGTACTCAAATTTTGTTGCCCCCCGCCCCCCCCCCCCCCCCCCTTGAAGACAAAAATCTCCCTAACCTACGCATATCAGTTTTTATGGATATATTTTTCATACGTAGGGACTTAATGAATAAATTTGCTAGATTGTCAATGGAGTGAATCTCCTTAACAAAATATTTTACCACTGTTCTGGAGTTCATGTGGGTAAACAAATTTTTGTATTAGGTACCATTATATATGTTATAACTTCTATCCATTGAATTGGTACAAAATGCATTAATGACAATATATGCAAATGTTCTACCTAGATTTGCAGTTGCGAAATATTACTATGAAAATAATATTTCTAGGAAAAATAACAAGAACAAGAACGAAAAGATTTCTGGGTTGGTGGTTAGTACGAGTCGAGCAAAACACTATTTCCTTAAAACCTTATTTGCCGTCTCCCAAAGATGCTAGGAGCGTTACGGTCTGGGTTTCTCAGGATAAAACGTACTACGATTCCAAGTTTGAGCACTCAAACAATGGAACCCGGCGAACTAGAGCATGAGATGAACATAACGTTGGCTAAGAAAGGAGTAAGAGCAGAGTTTCGAGAGAGAAAAGACGATTTTCCTTATAAAAATCTGATGCTCTACAATAAACTTATATAGGAGTTGGTGGTGTAAATAGCATTCATTCGTGGCATTAAACTCTGGTTTAAAACCAGATTGTGTTGGTCCCAAAGGGGTGTGGTAAAAGTCTAAAGGGGGGGGGGGGGGTGAATAGACTTTTAAACTTTTCGCGAATGCAACAATTGCTAAGGCAACAGAGATATCAAAACTCTTAACTAGATTGTTAGAGTCTTGTACGCAGCGGAATAACAAAGTAAGCGTCTGTGGTGGATGTGTCAAGTGTATCCACATGATAAGCAGTAAGTAAATAAAGCAGTAAATGACTCAAGGCAATTTATAGTGGTTCGCGAGGTGATGTAATCCTCCTACTCCACTTGCTCTTATCATCCAAGAGCAATTCACTATATCCACCACTTCTTGGTTCCTAGATACAATGAATTTCCGTGATCAAGTGCTTTGATCACTAAGCCCACACTAATCACGCCTAGTGCCTCTAACACTGCTGCTTCGGATTTCACAGCTCCGTGCTACTTTCCAGGATTTCACAGCTCTGTGATACTTTCCCCCCGTCTTCCACGATCCGGTCGACGTATCCTGTGATCTGGTGCTTTGATCACCAAGCCCACACCAATCACGCCCAGTGTTCTCCAACACTGCTGTTTCGGATCTCACAGCTCCGTGTGACAATCCAGGATTTCACAACTCCGTGCTACTTTCCCCCCGTCTTCGACGTATCGCCTGATCTAGTGCTTTGATCACAAAGCCCGCACTAATCACGTCCAGTGTTCTCCAACACTGTTGATTCACTTGTTTGTAGAAAAACAAGCTTCACTGACTTTCCAACTTTGAGACTTCTTGAATGGATCTTCAATATGCAGCAAGTCTCTCAATGATGAAGAATTAAACACTCTTGAATATTTTCTCTTTGAGCACTCTGAGTGTTTTTCTCACTTGAATATTTTCTCACTTGTAAGCTTTTTCAAGCATATTAGATTCGTATGATCTCACGTTTTTGGTTCGTTGGAAGTTCTGTGGAAAGTTAGTTGATTTGGTTCATTCTTCATCCTTTTATAGCTGGTCTTGAGAAGTTGTACGTTGGAAAAAGACAATCTCAAATATGAATTGTAGATCTCAAATTTGAATTCCAAATCTCATATTTGAAATCTTGTAGCCTTTTGCAGAAGATCTGTAGCTTTCTCAGAAGATCATATTAAAAATAATATCTCTGATATTTTGGCCGTTGCTTAGCTCTTGGTCCATGTGAAGAGACTTAAAATATTTCTGATGTAGATCTTATCTTCACATGAAGGGCTTTAAAATAATTCTGATGTAGGTCATGCGCCTTCTGGGACTTTCATCTTCTGTGTATTTTATTCTCTCTATATGGCTACTGATGAAGTGTTTCGGCTAATGAGATCTCTTGATCTGGGTCTCATTTGATGGTGAGAATTCAATCTTTGATTGAAACTTCATCTCCAACTTCAGCTCTTACTATATATAGCTTTGGAACTCCATCTCCAACTTCAGCTCTTACTATTTATAGCTTTGGAACTGCATCTCTAACTTTGACTTGTAAAGTGCATCTCTAACTTCATCTCATACTGCATCTCTAACTTCATCTCATACTTAAGACCTTGTAAAGTGCATCTCTAACTTCAGCTCTTACCTTGTCTCCAAATTCTATTATTTAATTGATTTCGAAACATCTTTTGAAACATCAGCTCCTACTTCATCTCCTTCTTAGTTTCGAAGTTCTATTATTTAATTGATTTCGAAACCTCTTTTGAAACATCAGCTCCTACTTCATCTTGACTTCTTTTCAAACCTCAGCTCCTACTTCATCTCTTGGAACTTGATTTAAGGCTTCTTTAACTTCAGCTCCTACTTCATCTCTTCTTAGTTTCGAAGTTCTATTATTTATGCATCTCTAACTTCAGCTCTTACCTTGTCTCCAAGTTCTATTATTTAATTGATTTCGAAACATCTTTTGAAACATCAGCTCCTACTTTATCTCCTTCTTAGTTTCGAAGTTCTATTATTTAATTGATTTCGAAACCTCTTTTGAAACATCAGCTCCTACTTCATCTTGACTTCTTTTCAAACCTCAGCTCCTACTACATCTTGACTTCTTTTCAAATCTCTCAGCTCCAACTCATCTCTTGGAACTTGATTTAAGGCTTCTTTAACTTCAGCTCCTACTTCATCTCCTTCTTAGTTTCGAAGTTCTATTATTTAATTGATTTCAAAACCTCTTTTAAAACATCAGCTCCTACTTCATCTTGATTTCTTTTCAAACCTCGGCTCCTACTTCATACTCCTACTTCATCTCTCAGCTCCTACTTCATCTCTTGGAACTTGATTTAAGGCTTCTTTAACTTCAGCTCCTACTTCATCTCCTTCTTAGTTTCGAAGTTCTATTATTTAATTGATTTTGAAACCTCTTTTGAAACATCAGCTCCTACTTCTTGATTTCTTTTCAAACCTCAGCTCCTACTTCATACTCCTACTTCATTTTGACTTCTTTTCAAACCTCAGCTCCTACTTCATACTTCATCTCTCAGCTCCTACTTCATCTCTTGGAACTTGATTTAAGGCTTCTATAACTTCAGCTCCTACTTCATCTTTTGGAACTCTCCTACTTCATCTCTTTAACTTCAGCTCCTACTTCATCTCTTGGAACTCTCTTGGAACTTGATTTAAGGCTTCTTTAACTTCAGCTCCTACTTCATCTCTACTTCATACTTCATCTCTCAGCTCCTACTTCATCTCTTGGAATTTGATTTAAGGCTTCTTTTTGTTTGAATTCATTATATTTAATGAATTGTTTGTTCAATTTTTTGTTAGATCTGTTAAAAAAAATAGATCATTCCTTTTCTTTTGGAAGAACTTATCCCATAATTTCATTATATGCTTTCCTAAGCGTTCTATTTCCTCTGGTATTTTGTAAGAATCAAATAGACCAATAGAGTCCAAAATAAAATATACTTCTTTCTTTTTATTTAATAAAAAGAAAGAAGTATTAGTATTCAAACTAATAGTAATAAAAGAAACCTTCGAATGACTATATATACGGGAATGGCTCTTAGTACTGGTTGCTCGCATGATTTCGAATAGGGGAGATTTTGAATAGGTTAGGTAATAGGGTAATTCATATCTTCTATGTCAAAGATGAAACGGCCCCATCTAAGAGCTTCTAATTGAGATATGAATAGGCACTAAGCTCCTACTTCATCTCTTGGAACTCTCCTACTTCATCTCTTTAACTTCAGCTCCTACTTCATCTCTTGGAACTCGCAGGCTTCTTTAACTTCAGCTCCTACTTCATCTCTTGGAACTCTCCTACTTCATCTCTTTAACTTCAGCTCCTACTTCATCTCTTGGAACTCGCTTGGAACTTGATTTAAGGCTTCTTTAACTTCAGCTCCTACTTCATCTCTTGGAACTCTCCTACTTCATCTCTTTAAATTCATCTCTTGGAACTCTCCTACTTCATCTCTTTAACTAGAACTTGATTTAAAGCTTCTTTAACTTCTTGATTTAAGGCTTCTTTATTATTTAATTGATTTCTACTCGAACTTCACTTGAAACTTACCTCCTCCAAGTTCTATTATTTAATTGATTTCTACTCGAACTTCACTTGAAACTTACGTCTTACCTTGTCTCCAAGTTCTATTATAGGCTTCTTTAACTCTTTATTATTTAAGGCTTCTTTAACTTCTTGATTTAAAGCACTTGAAACTTACGTCTTACCTTAAC